AAATAACATCTGACACTCAAATTCTAGTCAATTAAAATGTTTGATGAACTTGGGGAGAAAACAGTGAACTTCTCTGATATTATGTGAATGATGTGCATTAGGTTAAACGGTAACTTTCCTCCGCCATCTACTAAAACTATTGTCAGCTGATAATTCCATTTTTCCCTGTCTTTGGACTATAGTAATGACTCTCATCTCACTGACTCAAGCTAGAATCGCGTTAACTGACTCAATGATTCTGACGTCCCAGTAATAATATAATGATTCCAGGCTCAAAGCCGAATCCGAGAGATTGAACCAGATTTGCCCTTATTATTTGCCCTAACTCCCAGTGACTCGAACTGATCGAGCATAAATTTGACTTTGAGTGGACTGGGCTGTACTGGACCACACACTGTAATTCAACTTGACCTTCTCCAACTAATAACTTGATTTGATCCCCTTCCTTGAAATGAAGGGTGTCACAGAATCGTTTGACTATGAGTCCCCTAAGCGGACAGTGTTGTCAGTAACCCAGTGTTATAGAGAGAGAACTGTGTAGAGAGGTCTGTTAGCTGCCTCCTCACCTCACCTACACCGCATTAAAATTCCCATGGCACAAGACACTTTCCTAAAAATTTCTAGCAAAGAATTGCAGAGTGTACAGGAACTTCATGTAAAATGCTCGCTTTGTTGACGGATAGAAAGCTCGTTGTTCAACCACTGCCACGTTGAAATTCGAACTCATCCTGTTTTTATCTGTGTATTATTTCAGTTTACATGAATTGCTGTGCAGTGAACTTTGCCGAGTGAGAAAAGACTTGTGTTTTTAACTTGCTAGTGTACCATCAACATGAATAATGCCGAGGATGACTTTCTCTGCCTTTCATTTGGTTCTGTGGACAAACTTTTGAAATATACGTTTTGAGAGTTATTCCCCCAATAACCTCCGCCATGACGTTATAGCACTTATACGTGCCCCTACAAAATTACATACATGTACAAGCTTACTCAAAAACTAATTTGCATGATGAGCAACATTCCCCCACCTCAACCACATCGCCACCCGTAATAATACAGTAACGCCTCTCTCAGCACGTGCACCACAAGCTGCTTGTCTATAAGAAGCAGTCTTAGCTGTTCTAGTCATCCGAAGGAGACTTTGAGGCCTACTGACACGAGAAGACGAACGAGAATAAGTCGGGAATGGGCCTCGCTTCACGTGTTTGTCACTGCATAAGCAATTCATAGCATGGGCATTGTGGGAGGAGGGAAAGCCTGGAGGGCACTTGATTCCCTCCACACCAACCCCACCCCCACACCCCAAAAAATGGAAAATAAAAATGAGGAAGAGAAATGAAAAAAAACAGATGAAATAAGACATAAAATCACCAACTTGTTTGAAAGCAATCAGACCCCCCCCCCCGCTGTTAATTGTTTTTGTTTTGTTTTATTTTGTTCCTGAGTGTTTTTACCCCCCTCGCCCCGCCCCCTCGGAAACCCCCATCCCCATTTAAAAGTGACTTCCCCACCCCCACCTCCTGGGAATATCCTAACGACGACCATGATTCAATATGGCTACCACGGCCTGTCTGGGGCAAGTGCAGCAACATTTCAACAACACTGTAAAATCTCTGTCCTAAAGATAGGCCCACCTGTAATGATCTACATGCATTAGTGCATTTGAACACGAAACAAGAATTGCAGAGAAAGGCCTGACTTCCTGTCTATCTGTGTATCCAGGAAATGATACCTTAATGTTGCATATAACTGATATCCGGAGTCACCGCCCACCACAAGCAGGATAAGCGTTTATTTTTTATTCAGATTCACCACTTCCACCAGTCCAGACTGGATGTATTCGTTCTGATTCAACCTTCTCTTCAACTGGACTGATTCTGCATGGCCAGCATGACATCGCTTCCAGTGCAAGCAATCTGACGGTCTCGAATGTTCCGTCTGGCTCAGTCAGTCAGTATCTGCAAGTAGACAGCATCTTTGGACGGTATCCTGATAAAATGGCAAGGGAAAGAGAAATATATCAACGCGTTTTATACCTTGTAGTAGTGTATTTCTGCACTGCTCGAGCGGCCAACAACACAACAGTTAATCAAACGGCAACCGACGAGGTGAACACAAAAGTGTACGTTGTTGAAGGGGAAGTTGAACTAAACTGCCCACTTGATGCCGAACGTTTGGATGACCATGCATATTTGCAGTGGTTATCTCCCAGATTTTCTTTGATATCAAAATCCTCCGTTAATGAAGAGACTGGCATCTTCCTAGGTGACAGCAGGCTGACACTGACAACAAATGGCTCTCTGACAATCAATCCAGCTTGTTGCCTGGACGTGGGTACTTATAAATGTTCCATCGAGAGGATAAACGCAGACGGTACCAGACTAGTTGTCGTCCAGGCAAGTGTGTCATTGGCGATGAACGCCACTGACGATATCAAGTGCGACACCCTAGGGCAGTCGTCAAGTTGCGACCCCACAACAACTACATCGGGTGGTGACACAGACGATGACGTTGTGATAAACAGTGTCGCTGTGTATATTGGAACGTTCATTTGTGGAGTCATTCTGGGCGTCGTATTTGTGCATCTGGCGCACTGTGTCGCAAAACGATATCGTAATCGACGACATCGGCGCATAGTAGCAAAACTTCGCCAAGGAAGCGTCGCGCTATCGGCACGAGGTGGTTCCGTCATACGGCAAACATCTAGACAGACAGAGAAAGATACACAAGAACCAAACCAGTTTGATATGGTGACTAATCCGCTTCAGGACGAGAATGGTATCCTAGGTGACCCGTTTGCTCAGGCTCCGTCCCCACCACCTCGGGTCGAGCACCAAGATCAAAGTAGTCTGGGCATCTCCAGGGGGCGTGGTCTGAGTCCGGGAAGATTGACTGTGGCAATTCATGCTAGTTCTCTGCAGGAACTAAACACGGTCGGCTCTGCGTCAGACACCGCTGCCCATCAGAAAAATCCGCAGAAACCTGCGTTAAATAGTCTGAGCAGCAACTCCTCTCATGAACCAAACGGGCCAAACGACATTTACACCACAGATGTGTCGAATGCTACGGCTATTTTAACCGCACTGGATGCAGAACTGTCTCTGGAGGATGCTCTTGCTTTTACTTCGACAGAATATACCCTAGGCAAGGAGACAGAGGAGGAAGACGACGGATACCTGCGTCTCTGTGACTGCTCTGATGACTACCAGGGGGTAGATGGTATCATGGAGAAGTCACGCGATGAATCACGCCCCAAGGGAGACACCTCTTTTCAACATGACTATACTTCCATGCGACACCGCATGGAGGAAACTCCACTAAGGAAGTCTCGCACGTCATCGTCTGATGACTACGAACATTTGGACCTGTTCTCCCCGAGGGGAGTCTCATTCAAGGGACGTCAAGCCGCAGTTGGGAGGTTTAACAGGAGTTACCTGCGTCCAATGCTAAATTATGAGCATTCTAACATCAGCGGAAGAGATGCAAACTTCCCTCTTCCTCCTCCACCAGTAACGATCGCAGAGGAAAACTCCAGGAGCCAGTCCGGATCTCATGCGAGCCTCCCCCTGCCTCCACCGCCAGTAGACCTCCCTGAGGGCCCCTTCTATGTTGTCTTGGACAACAAAGGCTACACCACGTTGCAGAATACCACAAGTACCTGGCCAAGACGCGTGTCGGCCAAGAGACGATACCCGTCGATTGCAGTTACCAAAGATGCCCCTGAATACTTGGAGATAATCGCTTCGGCGGACTGTATTTACAACAGCGCTAGTGACGAGTACTATTTCTAATATCTTTGGAACAAGAATTTAAAACAAATGAATTACCTAGTGATCTTGTACTGATCATGACGTCAAGAATGACTTTGCGATTGCCCGCTGTTTAATACACAGACAAAAATATGCAAAATTATTTGAAATAAGGTCTCACACCTTGAGCAAAATTATTTTGAAGTACGGTCAATTTTTAAAAGTTAACAGTATTTCCTCTTTTTTTCATGTTTGTAAGTTAGGCTGTTGTAAATCATGTTTATTTTTATCCTAATAATGGATGAAGACTTAGTGAGGGAGGTTAGGGTGGGGCTGTGCTTGCAGATTTGAAGAAAAAAAATCGAACTCTCGGTTCAACAGAAGGTCTTTGCAATTAGATGTTTGCAATGCACGCTAAATCGAAGATATGGTTAGCTCTGCTCTGCTGTTTTAAATCTTTGGACATACTAAGGTATTTGAGGCCTGTAAATTGGATGGAATAGTTTTTAAACGTGCTATATTCAGAGCTTGGAAAGTCCAATTATACGTGGAGGCAAAGGGATGTAAATAAACAAGCAGGGCTCACAAATTATGTAAATTTTAGCACGGTATTTTGTTACACAGAATTCTGACTGAGTTGGACATGAAGGCGAACCACTCACCACCATGTTTTTTTTTTACACATGCAGTTTTTAGGAGGAAGAAGTCCTCTTGGTGTCGATTTTGAAAACAAAAATTTAATCAATTTGAAATGCAATGGTCTTTTCTTTTTATCCGCAACTTCAGTTCTCTGTTTTCATTGTCTTCATCTGCACTGTTTGACCAGCACCAATTTTTCACCTTTATTTCTTATCACACTTGCCTGTGACGTCACTCGTGCTCCATATTAGTATAGTTACAATTAGCTGGATAAGCATTAAAAGTCTGAAGTCTCAAATTACAAGCATCGAGTTAAAACTGTGAGGCTTCATTAACACCCTGGGAAGAAAAATAAAACTGCAGTTGTCACCCAGAATCGCTCTTCTATAATTTTTTTTCAAAACCCGGATTCCCCCAACCTGATCCGTCAATGCTGACATGGGATTCAGATGACATTCGGCATAATGCATGTAAATCCCCTCCTCTAAATAACCTGATGAACCGCAACTCCCCCCCCCCGGCCTTGCCCACTAGTGAGCTCTGCGCGCGAACGGCTCTGCACAAGAGCGCCCTCTGTGTGTTCAGACTAGCGCTTGGGTACGTGTACGGCAAGTTCCGATCGTTCCAGACACCTGCGGTCGAGTCTCACGTACGGATGTTCATGCACGCAAGTCGAATTTCATTGATTTGATTCTTCAATTCAGCAGTTGAGCTGTGCCTTGTTTGCTAGGATATCTCCAAGTACCACCGATCTGTCTCCTTGCTTTATACTCCGATCAAGACGGACATTTTGAATCAACAGCCCGAGATACTGGAGTGCATCACACTGTTAAGGTAAACCTGATTTGTGTTTTAAGGAAAACACCGAAGCATCTCATTGTTGCCAAATCGAGTGTGACGTTTCGGTCGATCGCTAGGTGTGATGGTGTGAGTCACTAAGGATATAGTGCTTGAGGGACGCATGTGAATCAGAATGAAATTTGAAGAGAAAAAGCTTTGTTCTTTGTCAGAGTGAGGACACTAACGATAGTTGGAAGGGGAGTCACTTGTGAGAAAGGAACCTTGTTAACATTGTGGGTAGGCAAGAAGGAAAAATAACACAATTCCTCCAATTTTTTCCAAGTCTGTTTGACTTTGAAGTCATCGTTGACATGGTCGCTGGCCTTACACTTTCTCTGATAACAATTTTTGATCATGCAATCTGTGATAATATCATACTTTGCAAAAAAGGTTCAACTTGTCTACATAATTCTTTTTCACTAAACAAATATGCTAATATTTACAGCTGTAAATTGTCAGTAGACCTATTTAGTATGATGGAAATATATTTCATTTTTGCGCAGACAAATGACAGAGGAAGTCAGGGTTTAAGCATATTTCTACTTTTACCAGAAGTTGGTAATGTCAAGTTGCAGTATTTTCCAAGTCTAAGTCAGAGTCCTTTTTTCAAGTTGAGTCAAAATCAAGTAAAAGAATTGTGACTTGAGTCCAAGTTTAACATTTAACTTAACAACAGGAAAGAGCTCACTGGACAACACTAATTTTTACTTTAAAAGTTACGACAGCCGTCAGAAAGTGATAACATGTCCTAAAAAGTGAAATTTAGCTGAGAAAATTCTGAAGCATTTATTTTAAAAACACTTCCTTTTTTCATACAAGTCTCATAGGTTTGTGCACAGGGCCTTGGGTGTTGTTTGTATATGGAACTCTTCGCGTGAAAGTGCTTGTCGTTACTTGACAAGTTGACACTTCTCACTTGCTGATTGTAATAAAATTGAAAGTAACCCTAGGCCCCCCTGTAAACCATAGAGGTTTTGGGCAGATCTCATGAATCTTCTTGGAAGTGTCATGGTTTACCCCAGCAACTGTAGGGTTCGACGTCCGCCGCAGGAACACAGCGGGCATCGACCCCTGGCTAGGGCATGGAGGATTCCTGGAAGGAGTCCTTATGGATGCCCCTTGACCCTGTGCACAAACTTTATGAGACTGGTCTGAAAACTTCTGTTTTCTCGGTAAACACCTCTGGTTTTTTCCTCACTAAATTGAACTTTTCTGGACATATCTTTGCTTTCTGAGGGCTAACAGGTCACCGTAAGGAATAATTACTGGCATCCATATACCGGTACACAGAAAACTTTCTGAATTCCTTCCTCTATGGTTTTGGATAATGTAACATGAAGACCAGGGCTCCTTATGAATGTTTGACTAAAATGTCCGACGAGTTATTTACCAGTAGGTATTACATTTATGTGGTAAGAGTGACTTAAATGGTCTTCCTCCACTGTTGAAATTCACAAAGATCTGGTATTGTAATCCTAAGATTAAGGAGAATGGAACAGCTGTATAATGGTTTCATAGTCCCAAAAGTAGTGTGAAAGTAGCTTTTAATCAGAGCTTGCCAAGCGGGTGATTAGCAGTAAGAGAAAACTCA